AGATCCACTTAATTAAAGGGTCTTATTTTCATTAATTCAAAACCGAAAAGACATAGAACCAACTTTTATCCAATGATAAAATCACGCCGTCACGATTTTTTTTAAAATTTTGTGCCAGCATCAGGAGCGCTCACACGCATAAAGGCGTGCGTCCAGGTAGTGGCCACACCCGCCCTAAAGTCCAGTTGGAATTTTCTACCCTTCTAGTCTGTCATTTAGCTCCGCCATTGGAATAACGTTAGAAAAACTTGAAATACCAAACTGGAACAGGAAAACGAGTGTTCGGTGAAAAAAAAATGGGGCAATTTTAAAGATTACAGTTCAACCAACTTGAGTAGTTTAATCAAGCAATTGGAAAGAAAAGGCTTTAGAAAAATTCACAACGAATATGGTGTCAAAAAAAAGGGAAAACGATCATTAACCAAAAAAGCACATACGTGCCGCGTGGCCGGTCATCACGTGCGACGAACGCCACAGTCCGGTTTCCGGTACCGTGCGGTGCATTTCGTTTGCTCGCAAAAATCAGGTGTCAAACGCCAGATCATCTCTCAACCGTGTTGATTGCAGGGGTACACTTGAATAATTCATTTCAAAGCACTGTAAGAATAAAAGGGCCTCGTTTCTTAACTTTGACACACCTTTTGTTGGATGCATTATGAGATGAGCTTTCAAACGATGCGTTATGAAGTCGTTAAATCGCATTAAATGATTGGAATTTTATGAAATAACAAATCAGATTAATAGTGCTGTTTATCTAGAACTACAGAAATACTGATATTAATTTCACCTGTAATGCTGTTGATTGCGTAAATGTATATTACATTTGCTTGTTTTGAGTTGACCATTTTTACGAATGCATTGCAAATTAAGGATTCTATAGGGAGCCACAGATTTACAAATATTTACTAAGCCACATTGCCACCCTTACTATGTTGCCCTAGTGTTGTTATCTTATTGTCTTGATCGTAATGCAGCAGTGCGATTGGAATGGTACTCTCCAGAATGGGATATTTTGCCCTCAAGTTCCCAATGACTCGTTCAACAATACCAAAGCTAAAGTAGTTCTTGTTTTGCTGACATCTTCTTGACCAAGTCGAGTCTTAAATTGTCCATAGTAAACGCTGGATGTTTTCCCCATAACAAGCAATCACATTTTAAACCATATACTGTATCTCCGCAAACTGTGTTCTGTGAAAACAAGAACTGGCACTGCTGTTGGAAAAAAAATTAAAAAAAAAACAACTTGAGGAGACTGATATTAACTATTTTATAGTATTGGGGGCCTAGGGGATTTATAACTGGAGTAGCCTGTTCCTTTACTTTGGTCTTTTGAACGTTGTTTTTGTTTTTTTTTTAAGAAAATAATGCTCAGTATGATTGAAATGTTAAATTGTAACGAAAGAAGAAATTCTCAACTTCATGTCAGTAAAAAAAAAAATCGCCTCCATTGATGCCAAAACTCCAATACTAATTACTTGGTAAAGTAACGCCAATACTAGTTACTTGTTAACGTTTACCTTCAAGTCGGGAAGAAATCGTTCGAAAACGTCCCCCAAATCTTTGTATTTATATTCATCTCTAAGAGTTTCCTCAAGTTGTTATTTCACAAGTAGTTGGACACTTTATAATTATCATCTAAGTATGGTTCTGAATTTCAGCTCAATCTGTGCAAGCTCTAGTGTTACACCTTGAACTATCCCACAGATATCATGAGGGCGCGCTGCAAGGAGTCGACGTGAATTTTGTTTAGCTTTGCACGAAGTCACAGTTTTGATTTTTAGCTGTTTCGGTGACACCGAAACAGCTCGTGTTTTGGTCCAAGAAGAAATTCGTGTTCGTGACGTCATCAGGTGTGGGGTTACGTCACATTAAAGATGTATTTTTCCTGATATGTTTTGTACACGTATTAAAACACTCCACTTTGGGCACTTTCGTAAATCCGATCAACTTTAGACGTGGTAAACACTTAGATCACCACCCATAGATGCTCCTAGATGCTCCTAGAAGAAATTCGTGATCGTAACGCCATCAAGTGTTAAGTTACGTCACATTAAAGATGTATTTTTTTCCCCATAGGTTTTGTACACGTTTCTTCAAACCATACACTTTGGGCACTTTCGTATGTCTGATTGACTTTACACTTGGCAGACACTTAGACAAGCAGCCGAAGATGGACCCGATGATTTTTGTAATGATGACGTCATCATGTGTCACATGACGTCATATTAAATGTGCATTTTTTTCAAATCGCTATAACTTCTGAAGTACAAGTCCGATTGGGTGTAAAAATGTGTTATGTACATACACAGGAATGTGTTAGAGATAATCATTGAAGTGACGTCATCACAATGCCATGTGACGTCCATTAAAGGTGTTTTTATACAATAAAGCCAACTTTGAGGATATCAACTCAGATATGATGCACTTCGACAGTTCCTTGACTCCAGACTTACTGGACACTTCGCCACTAACAACTTGTATGATAATTTTAAGGAAGTTCTATAGACAAAAACATCAAAGCTGAGCTCTAGCATCCCTTGATTGCTTCTCACTTTATACTGCGCCATCAAACATATTCGTTAGGTCAGTCTCTTTCTATCTGCTTTCCTATTCAGATCCATTAAGATCCTTGATCTGCCCTTGGATCCGAACATCTCTTTTGTACAGTACAAAAAAGGCTGTTGGCTTTCAGGTTAGACTGATATTTTCAATGCAAAAAAGTCTGTTCGACCGTAATGTTGGTTTTTGCTACATGAATGTGAAATTGTCTTAGTAGTGAAAAGGTAATATAGCCTTTGCAGGGGTTGGGGTCTAAAATGAGTATTTTGCAAAGTTTCTAGGTTTTAATCAAGTATTAAGGATGAGCCTTTACGTGAAATGGAAATTTGAAATTTCAAATGGCTGCTTTACGATGAAACTATTTCCGAACTGAACTATGTTTGTGGACAAACACTGGGCTGTTTCGGCAACATTTTGTGACATGTCTTAGTTCCATCCACGAAGGATGTGTAGTTTCTTCCTCCATTCTTACGTCAGAAAGTTGATTTCTATTCTATTTCTACCTCATGTGGACAAAATAACTAACACAATAATTACAAACTCAAACGTTTGCTTGTGGTGAACATTTGGTGCGGTCGCTAGTCAACCTTGCTAACGAGAACGCTTTTATTTGTATCTTCTCTTTTTCATTATGTCAATTCTAATACATCGATCACCATATATGATCCATCTTCTTCATAACATGGGTTCTCTCTTCATAGAAAATATTAATGATTAATACCAATAGCACAAAACAGCAACGACGATTATAATATCGCGTTGATTTAACTATGCGATTCATATTCCAAGTGATTGGGATGTTAGCATAGTTGAGGCGGGGTCCAACTTAAGATAGGCGTTTCGGGCCACTTCGGTCTTCCATCTACCATGTTTGGAGACGAGGAAGGGAGGGACATTTGCATTACATGCGGCTGTGGCACCTCCGGATCTGAGGCTGTGATCCGAAACATCGGGAACAAAGGGCCGGACAAAGGGCCGGAGGGAGCCAAGAGTCACGTGATAAAAATATTCAGACTCTGGACTATTCTATCATTTCCCGCAAACGTCAAGTTCAGGTCTCTCACGGTTGATTTTATATTGATTTTCATAAATTAAGTCTATTAATCTTTAAGGTGACTGGTGATGACGTCATCATGACGTCTTTTCAATTTTTATCTGTAACATATCCCAGTCTAGGTACACACCAATTCTGGAGATGTAGACCTTATAATATGCACCTACATTGTAACACCACAAGACACGTGATGACGTCAATGTTTCGACACACAACTTCAGGTGCTGGTCTAAGTGTGTACGAGGGGTATATCAGATTAATTTTAGTGCCAAAGTGCCGGGAGGGGGGGGGGGAGTGTGTACAGATGCTGTGGGTGAAATGAACAAAAAATCTTCACGAAAACAGGACTGTTTTGGCAAATGTGCCGAAAAATTGATGATGTTTTTATCATTTAAATCAACAATAAAATATTTTTATTGTTAGGTTTTTCACTTAAGAAACATTTTCTTTTCTCTCTGAATATTAATAAGGGAATATCGCGGATCATGAAATACTGATTCACCGGTAGTGTTGCGCATGCAGACGTGTGGAAAGTGAACGTTCAACTAGTGAAACGTTAAAAGTCACCCGATTTCATTGGGAGTCCAAATTTCATGTGACACTGGTAAAGTGTCAAAGACCCGCTGGCCATGTCTTTATCATCCGTTTAAGACATGCCATGCGACGGGCTCTCGACCAATAGAAAAACGAAACTGCGTTAAGTATATTTGAATGGCCATTTTTGTATAGTTTCCTTTTGTAAGTTCTCTCGGTCATCCATGGAGGGTGCACCATTAGTTCGTAAAATGATAACTGATCAAGTCACTGTGGTTGGCATCTGAATATTGCGATTCTTAAATATTTGTGTGTATCCATGGCGCGTAAGTGGTGTGTCAGGTTTTGGATCAAAGCCTAGTATGGATTTAGCGTCAACAAGTGCATTCGAGTCAGTGGGTTTCCACAGCCTTTTCACTTGAACTAGGACCAACTGATTTATGCTTTTTGAGGAGCCATTGTTCCTTTAGCCCTATTGGAAGCTCAACCCCTCAAACCCCAACGACATGTTTCGTTGGAATCTGTCATGATGGGTACCAGTACCCCTAAACCGACAGTCTTTGACAGTGCGGTTGGCACATCTCCAGAAATAAGTCAGAAATATGTGTGCGCAGTTTTCCATATGGTGTTGGAATTTGCCAGGATGGGTATGGTCGTTATGGAGTTAAGGTTAAAGCTAAGAATTTGGATTAATTGCTGACTTCAGGGAAAATGATCCTGTTGTTTTTGTTTTTTTAATTTTTTCCCCACAAGTTTGACAAAAATATTGACATGTGCAGTGTCCAGTGATATGAGTTCTTGTCTGATTACTAGCGTTTGCAACTCAAGTCAATTTCTTATTTGTTTTTAACAGAACTGCAATCTGACAGGTTGTGATCTCCAGGAAGCTAATCTGAGAGGGGCTAATGTCAAGAATGCAACATTCGAAGAAATGCTTACACCTCTACACATGTCACAATCAGTCAGGTAAATAGTAGCAGGAACAACGTATTAAAATATAGGATTATCATAGTTTATAGGAAAAAATTCTAGCATCTTTCATGACACCTTTGTGAATCATCTAATTTCTGGTTATAAAACTCAACTGGAAATATTTACTTACTGGAGGAAAATTAACAACTCAGCTCCAACTTGTGGAGGTGGATTGAAAGTGGCGGATTGATATTTGTAGTATATGGCCTAAAACTATTATAAAGAAATATGATTTGTAAAGCATTTAATGACAATTAAAATAAACTACCCTGGCCTAGGCCAGGGTAGTTTATTTCGTCCCGTGGGAACTAAATGATCAGAAAATCCTTGCCATGCAATAGAAATACACACGCAAAATAACGTTTGAAAATCTTGAACTTCTTTGTGGCTGCCAGTTAAGGGCTGTATATTGGCAATAAATCTTGCCCCGAACAATAGGTGCAAAGCTCACTATGATGGCAACATCGACGTTTTAAATAACAAGGAAGTACCAAGTGACATAAAAATTAGGATGCGTTTGGTTAGCTCAACGGCATCGAGACAGACGGGTGAAGGGCGCGAAAGCGTAGCCATCCAAAAAAACGAAATCTGGCCGAGTCGTTCTTTTAAGGTCTTGCTAGCTTCAAATTAAGTTGATTTTCCCGCTTTGCGGCTGACATAAGTGTCCGTTACTGGCGATTGACCAACGCATGCTTTGAGACTGAGGAATAGCCGCAGTTTGATCAGTTAACCCGATCTGTGTTTGATTTGTTAGCCGTACTTATTCCGAAATGGCCGTCTGGTATATTATTATTGGAGAAATGTATCTTAATGTAATGATATACTTGCCGATTTGCATTTTACTCGTACAAGCTCGACAGCGTTCGATTTACCTCTCGAGTGACTTCTCGCGCTTACTCGAGCCTGGCCCAAGTAACCGACTCGCCGAGCCGGTCACTTGGGTAAGTATCTCATAAGGCCACACAACGTCCGGCAGGCGCCTCTCAAGGCCGTGTCCGAAATGGGCTTCTACGGAGCATAGAGCTACAAACCCTATGTAGCTCTTTGCACGAAGCTACAGCCACGAATTATTGTCAGCGCGTCCCTGCGTATTTTCACTGGCCGTGGACGTGCTCTAAACAGTTAATTGATTCGGATGCAGCCTGAAAAATTGAAAATGTTGCAACTTCCGCAATTTTGTACAAAGTCTATGGCGAGTCAACACAATTTGATTTCCTAACAAAATTGGAAATATTTCTCGGTCCCAGATTCATGTCTTATCATTTTCTGCAAATGAATAACCTTCATTTGAGAGAAGAAAAAAATGGCGTAAGGTTGCAACATTCCCCCGCCCCTGAAAAGCAAATATAAAAATAAGAAAATTAATTAATAAATAAATCAATAAATGAATATATAAATAAGAAAAGAGGTGAGAAGTAATTTAATGAGTTGGGTGGGGGGGGAGGCAAAATGTTCCTACCCCCTCTAAAACTGATCAATCAAGAATATGTTGGGGGGGGGAGACTCTTTTTGGAAAATATGTTTTGCCCCCTCTCTAAAAAAAAAAATCCTATTGCGCCCAAATTCATCCAGGTATCAAATGGCTCTTTTTATTTGGGATACTGGAGCGGAGACCACGGCAGAGCTGGCTAGCTGTTTGTCTTTTTCGGTTACTGGATGGAGATGCTGCAACTCAATTTTGATGTGTTCTCTCGTTTCTCCTTTTTAAAGTTCGGTTTTCAAATGCAATTCAAATCAGTGTCCAAAACCCTTCTTCCTTGCAGAAATTGCAACCGCCATTAAAAAAAAAAATGCTAAGAATGTACTAAGAATGGACGAGGCGAAGCCGAGTCCATTTATGCACGAATCTTCAGTTCCGAATCTATTCTTCGACTTAACCTGTTTCTTAACAACAATAGTTTATGCAAATAAGACACCTGATTTTCTCCACATTTGCAAGTCAGTGTAGATTCGTATATATATATATATACACGATCTATTCAACTTTGCCCGGCCCTGGACAAGATCCTATATTGTTAAACCTTCGGATGGGTGCACATCTTCTGTTCCATTCATCACATGCAGGCAGTGCATATGTCCTGGAAAAGCTAGCGCTAGTTGCTGGTGTATAGTGCGAACACACTGTCTATATTCCTTATCCCTCTCTCTCTTCCGGTGAAGTACAGTCCACTATCTGGTGTATTAGGAACTGCAAAGTTATTTCCTGAGTGAGTGAGATGGTGATATTCCGATGCAGTATACAGGGTGAGTCAAAAAGAAGTTGACCGGGATTTGTAATGTTTTTCAAAACAAACAAATGACACTCAAAAGTTCAGTAAAGCATATATTTAACAAGCACTCTCTCTCCTGCTTATTAGAAAAAAACAAGAATAAAATAAATTGATCATTCCTAAGAGGAGTTATGTCTATTTTAATAAACGTACTCATTTTGCAAGCTGTCCACGGAATACTTGAACAAACAAATGTAAATTAAGCATTTTAGCTGTGTACTTATCTAAAATTAACGCCCTGCCCTTCTTCGACTTGATGACCATTAAGATTGATGCATCTCAGAGCCCTTTCCCGCATGCTTTCAATAGCCCGCCTGTGGAGATCCTTGGTGCGCCTAAGACTTTTGACCTCGTCCACTATGCGTATTTTAAGCTGTTGTAGACTTGCTGGTAACCCCAAAGAAAAAAGTCAAGGGGCGTGAGTCTGGAGACCTCGGCGGCCATTCGACTCCATGTCCCAGACCGATCAGGTAGTTGGGGAAGAGCTCTTGTAGACGATCTTGGACTGGCCGAGCACGGTGTGCTTGGAGCACCATCCTGTAAATATCATACTCTGCGTAATGGCGCCGTTTCTTTGTTGGCCATACAATCTTACAAGTTCTGGGACAACAGTGTTGTTGATTAAAGTTTAGGTAATTCTGGCCGTTGACATTTCCAGCGAAAAAGACCGGACCCACGATACGATGGCCAATTAAACCAATCCAGACAGTCAACTTCCGACGATCATTTGGAATGTCATAGACAAAATTGCGGGGTGGTTGGTCTGTGGCGCATAATGCCGTACATTTGATGAGCTGACTCGTCCATTCATTTTGAGGAGCCACTGGCAGAAAGCTACCCGTCTTGCATAATCACCGTGTTGAAGACCATGCCTGAATTGTTATCCTGTTGAAGGTAGATTGTGAAATTTTCGGGAAAGGGTTCTGTCTGGAACTGACATTTGGGTTTATTCTTAAGGCTTGAGCTACTCGAGCAATGTTAGCTTGAGATCTACCAGTCCGCCTTCTTCCTGATGCTTCCGATTGCCTGCTCCGGATGGTTCCTTGATCATGTGATTTCCCAGTAATTTTTGCTTGCTTACTGGGTATACGATTTGCTTGTGGGAATTGTGCTGCAAAAAGGCGTTGAACCTTTGTAGGCCTAATGGGTTTTAACTATGAAAGTTCGCTGTGCATTTGTGTAAGGAGGTGCCATGATAACCAATGTCTGTCTTCCAAGGTTGCAATGCACTGGCTCTACAAATCCAGTGTGAAACAGGTTGAACACTGATTTCATGCATATCATTGTGATTTGTGTTTGAAATTCCCGCATTGAAAACCTCACTTGAATACGAATGACTTTTGTGTGAATGAATTTGTACGAATGACTTTTGTACATTCTGTGTGACCTTTATGATGCCCCACAATTCCAGTTATGTTGATTTTGTCCAATAAACAGTACTGAATGATTTTTTTTTTAGAAAAATGAAATCAGGCTGGTTTTCCGTCCAGCCTCGCCTTGGTTACGTTGATTTGAATGGGGTAAAACAAATCAATATTGCCGCAACATGAGAATGCAATGGCAAAATCAGTGTGTTTCAATAAAAATGCAAACACAATATAACGCTATCCCAGTCGTAAGAGTGTGTAACCAACATATCAGTTATTTTGCTGCTATCAGTTTATAAAATATGTTTACAAAGACCAACTCTTTCAAACCCGACCAATATGATCTATTTTTTGTTACACATTCTACCTCTGACGTTCCATCATGTGTTGTTTGTCAGGGATTTGATTTGATTAACAATTTGTCTTCATCACGTTTTGATCTTTGTTTGAATGGCTCCACACGTTAAACATTTCTACTGTACTCATGAAAGGTCCAAAACCATCTTTGTCACGATACCATCCAAACGAGGTGTAAGAACTATTGCTTATTTGTTATGAATTTCTATTCATATTTTGACATGATAATTATAATTTGAGCGTGATAGCTGCTTACCCATGATTCAAACGTTTCTGAAATGTCACCGAATCAGACTGGCGGTTTTATTGAGGGAGCTTGTTCTGATATGGGGGCCAAAATAACCAGAGGCACGAAGGCCGTCGATTTGTTTGGGTACGGAAAGTGTTGGTAATTGAGTCTTGTAGTTTACATAATTTGGCTGTGCAGTAATAGGAGATTGTTTAGGTGGACGGATGCTGATGAGTGAATGCATTTCCAGACGAAGAGCATGATTTTGAACTGATCATGATCGCATTCTCATGCAGTATACAATTAAAGTAGTCAATATTGGACGAAAATTGAATAGCAGTGTGACATGAGGCAATAGTCGGGTACTTCCGTATGTATTTTTAGTCTGAGTCTCATCCGTTTTCCACGGAGCCCTATCTCTCCGATCGAATGTCCCGACGTGCAAATTTATTCAAGCCGCGTGCGGCAGCCAATTGGTGTCGATTTTAAAAGGAGTGATGCTGTGATTAATCAATTCGATTGCAGCGCATTTGCGTTACATGTTACTGAGCGCCGCGCATCGTGATTTTTTTAACCCATGTGAATGACCGAACCCTCCAATTAGACCTCAGGAAAGATTTTTTTTGCAACAGCAGCAATTCGAAATCAGGCAATTTGGGTAAAGATTATTTTTGTATGACATTCGAAGGTAAAGAGTATACTTCATTTGCAAACAAATACAAATCTAAATTGGCTGCCATTTTAAAATACTATAACCGTCAAGTTTTGCTGCATTTTGATTCGTTTACGGTCTAATAATTAAGGTTTTTGGCTAGGTGGCTTTCCTCTAAATCATTGAATGTCCACGGAACAACAAATAAAATGTTGTAGTCTGAATTGTGTTGGTTTCATCTTACTTTAATGTTATATTTAAATGGTTTAACACCAGAAAGAAAACAGCTTGTTTACATTTGTGGTGTTAAAGCAAATGAAGCAGCGTTGTAATTTACAACGTCCTGTGACTTGCGGAACATATTGAATTGACTGCGCAGCGTCGTTGTGCTTAAAAGTTTAAATAAACTTGGATGAGCACGTGAACTTTTTTTCTCACGAACAAGGGGTTGAAAATTAACAAACTCCGGCCGCCATTTTTTTGTCAGACTTTTTCGAAATTCTACGTTTCCTACTTCAGTAGAATGTTGTAAATCCAGGTCAACTCAAAGTCACTAGTTAGCAACTATGTAACTTTTTTTTTAGTCGTTTTTTGTTGTTGTATGTAACGAGTTAGCTTAGTTGGCTGTAAGATAGTAAGGTTTTATGAATACGGCGCCTGGACTACTCTTACGAATCGTTGGTAATTTCAACACCATTATTCCTTTGTTATATCAATAAGTCTGGTTCCCAGACCAAAAGATTCTGACTATTCATGATAAAGGCCTTTCTTTTGTTTGTAAACATTGCCGCCATTTTTTATAAATTTAAGCCGTGGTTGGCAACATATTTTTTCCAAAAAAGTCCTCATAACGCCATCAACAAATAGTAGAAAGGCATGTGTAGGAATTATTTTGTACCTCTGTTGAAAATGTATTTTTAAGCATCAAATAATAAACGCTTCTACATTTTTGCAGTGTTGGACCTTCCATAGTTTTGCAGGCCGTGGTAGGTCCGGTAGCCTCCGATCATACAATTTACGTCACTTGACTAACATGGGAGGAATTATTCTTCCTTTTTCCGAAAATGTCCGAAGTTTGCCGAATTCGTTTCGTCGACAATCGGATAGCGCCCGAGAATTTCCGAATATAAGATAGGTTTAATTAACTGCTAATTCCTTATTATTTTCTTTTTCAAATGAGTTGATAATTAAAATTCATTGCTTTCATTTAGAAAACTTGAAATTCACTGACGATTTTGTGCATCAAATATACTCGCTCGTATGGGCGAACTCTTTGCTGCGTCATGTAAAATTTTGAATTTAGATTTTCCAAAATTCGGTCGCAGTGCTATTTTGGTGCCTAATTTTCAAGATTCCAGATCAACATGAGTCAAACTGTATTATCGTTACTGTATATTACGAAGCAAGTGATTTACTTTAAAAATTTGCTCAGAACATTAAAAACTAAAAGCGAAATCGGAAACGAATCCAAGCTTTGAAAAAGGGCCATCAATGTTGTCATGTTTATTTGTAGCCAAGGAGGCTGCCTGACCTAAAGCAACCTCGTTCCCCATGGGTACGATCGTGCTGCGCTATGTTGTTTTCCATCATGCCTTGCGCGATCTTAACCCCTTGAATTGTGTAATTTTAATGTGTAATTTAATTGTGTAAATTAATGGCACATTATAATTAAGCTGCATCTTATCCGTTTTACGTGCCGACGCCATCATTCCTCCCCCCCGGAAAAGCCAAAAAAAAAGGAAGAGAAAAAGGCGAGAAGTCAAATTGGTGTAAATTTTATGGGGGGGGGGATTGTCCCTACCTCCCTTTCAAACTGATAAATCGAGAATATCTTGATAAACAGGATTTTGAGGAA